AAATATTCCTTTAAGGATGCAGCATTTGAAACATTTTATGCTTCATTTCTGGATGTTTTGTCTCAAAAGCAGACTACAGATGAATAATATGTAACAGGATGCTTCTAGAGGGATTTGAAGAGTATTTAAACAAAGTTTTAAAACAAACTGTTTTCACACAGATTCAATAATAGATGCTACTGCAATAGTATTCTTTACCTCCAATATTTTTGCCCTAGATTGGTGGGTTTCAGCTGTGAGACACAGTGTACTATTCTGTTGCTCAGCCAGAAAGTATCAGCTGCGCATCTGGCCTACATTAAACTGACCTGTTTTCTTATAGTCATATATTTAGGGCTATTGATGATCACAGTAAAACCCATAAAGGGCAGGACCAAATCTGCATTATTGTTAGATTAAATGGGCGTTTTGGTTCGGATGATCAAATTACATTATAATGTGGTTATAAGCAGGTTTGATGCAAGTAAATTTAGCATAAATTCTTAAGCAAGTTAGTACAATGATCAAGGGTTTTTCATGGTAATATCACAGCAGCAGTCTGCCATCCGGTGGCCTTGCTGAAGAATGATCTCAAACCTGAAAGCTGAAGAACGTACTGTCAATTTGTGTCTAAGCAAGTGCTTATAAATACAAAGAGAAGTTTATTAAAAATATGTAAATGTATTTATTGAACAATTCATTGTGGCTGTAGACGTGAATCCTTGTACAGGGGAACTTGAAACAAACGTGACATGGTGCAAAGGCTAGAAGGAGAGTCCAGGACAGAGGAGAATGAAAGAGGAGGGATTTAGAAGCACTTCCTGTGGACAATGGAGGGTCCGGCCTCCTCGTACTCATCTTTGCTGATCCACATCTGCTGGAAAGTGGACAGGGAAGCCAAGATGGAGCCGCCGATCCAGACAGAGTATTTACGCTCAGGAGGGGCAATCATCTGTAATGGGCAAAGGAAAATTGAATGATTTTTAGTCATCACCATCACCATTATCGATAACAATAATTATCATCATTATCATTATCATCATCATTATTTTTATTATTATTATCAACAACAAACAAATCATTACAAATCACAAAACAATAAAACAACATACATTGTGGACATTTTAATAATAATAAAACGCGGCAGCAAGATACATGTTTAATGAGCCGAAAAGAAGTTCATCAATTTGCCCAAAGAGGCACAAAATCACTTTTACGGACTTTTACATTAACTGTTCCCTCCTGATGGAATGACCTGCCCAACTCAGTCCGAGTCCTAGCCATCTTCAACAATCGGCTAAAAACACATCTCTTCCATCTTTATTTGACCCTCTAACTCTAGCACTCTCTATTCTAATTCTATTCTTAAAAAAAAAAAACTTTTAGACTTGCACTCTATTCATTTACTAACTGCTTGTTTTCTATAAAAAAAACTAACACTAGCTTCTCTATTCTTTTTGTATTCTATCTATTTGTCTTCTTTTTATTTATTATACAATTAACAAAAAGCAAAAAAAGGCCTCTAACACTAGCTTGCTCTATTCTTTTTCCATTTGATCTGTTTTCTTTTTTATTTATTATATAATTTTAAAAAATCCTTGCTACGTGTACCGCGTTAAGCTAACTGAGACTTGTTATAGCACTTGTATATCATTGCTCTTTTGTTGATTTTGATTGCTTCTATTGTCCTCATTTGGAAGTCGCTTTGGATAAAAGTGTCTGCTAAATGACTAAATGTAAATATAATAATAATAATGATAATAATAATAATAATAATACACATGGTATTATTATTTGAGTTTTGTAATAATAATTATAAAAATATCAGTAATCCATAATTACAATAATGTATTACATTATGGATATTTGGGTAATAATAATAATAATAACTAATTGTTATTATTATTCTGTTAATATATCAATAATCCATAATTACAATAATACAGGAAATACATTATGGATATTTAATTATAACTACTACTACTACTACAACCAATAATAATATTAATAATAATAATAATACATTGTTATTAAAATATTAATAATGCACTTTGTATTATTGCTTTGTTATTTGTAATAATATTTTTCTTCTTATTATTATTTTTAATATCCATAATGAGCATAGTATTATAGTTTTGTTTAATTGTTGCAGTCTGATTGTTATTAATTTACTATTGTATCTAGAAATGTAAAAATAATTTAACATCAGTTATGCATATTAGTTATTGGAGACTTAAACATAACAATAATCTGTACCTGTCATAAAATTATTTAAGACACAAAACAACTTTGCATAAACAATAATAAAATATTAATTATAATAATTATTATTAAAACATTCATTTTTCATTCATTATTTTGTATGATTAAAACATTACTTATTTTTCATTCATTATTTCCTTCATTATTTTCTAGACTAATGATTACTTAATTATTTTTTGTGTCCTATATATATATATTATAAGAATAAATTGGTTCTGCATATTCACTTTGGACAGTTAAACATAAAATTAATCTACAC